GAGGCCAGGGTGGAACCTGTAGGAACCCAGGCCCTGGTCCGCTGCTCTGTTGTGACACAGAAAGAGAGGAAGAATATGCTAGGAGTTTAATGTAACTAAAAGGTATTCTTGGTACAGATTGAGATTCTTTTACTCAGAAGGGGTGTACATCATTTCCAAGTCATAGAAATTTTTGTTTATCCATGTTCATGTGAGATATGTTTCTTTACAAAATATATACCTATTACTTTGCTCATGACAATAGCCCCAAATTTTCTGCACTTGAAGCAAACGGACAGGAAAGTCAGAGAGTTTTATCTAACAGGAATTCAGAGAAAAAGATACTGGTAAATACTGAAGTAACAGAAGACAATTTATAGAGTTAGAGGGTCTTGAGCAGGGTCTTAAAGGAAAGGACTTGGACAGAAGAAAATGAAATTTGGAATGGGGAAAATTTTTTAGAAAGGTACAGAATATCTATCATTAAAGAAAGAGAAATGATTTTTTGGTACATTCTTAGTACATGATAATTGACTCTTAATTGTTTGAAAATTAGAAAATAGTCCCGTAACATTTTCCATAATTTCATCAGTTTTAATCATTAACATGGTATTAGTCTATCTACTAAAGTATTTTTAGCTGTTAATGATATAATAAATAATTTAATTAAATGGTTAGACCATAATTATTTATCAGTTCTACATTTGCTCTCACCCCGAGACACAGATTTTAGATCATTTTGTCTTCCCTCTTCTTTTGGTAACATACATAAATGGCATGGTGTTTACTACATTTGGCACTTGCTTATATTTTCTCATTCAGTTCTTTGGTTTATATTTATTTCAAGTGTGAATCATTTCCTTCCCCTGGGGATGATACTTTTAATTCTAAAATACCTACTGTGGCTGGTACAGAATGGAGATACAGTTATTCAGTAATATAAGATAAGGTAAATTGAACAATTTCTAGTCTACAAAACTGATGGTATTTTACATGTATAGATATTTTCTTCATAAAATCTAAATGTTCTAAGCAGAAATCATAATCTCAGATTCACAGTGTTTATTTGATCTAAGATTTGTCCTGAGGCGACCTGTCTCTTGCATGGAAGAGGTCTATTCATTAGAGTTAAAGAAATCTTTTATATGCTTTTAGGATGTGCACCTTTCCCAGGGGAGTAAGCACTCATCATTTTCAATACTTTATCGAGGTACTGTTCCCTCTGTCCTGGAATGGCCTTCCCTGTATAACAGTCCTGATTGATTGATTATTTATTTTTTAAATATTTTATTTATTTATTCATGAGGACACACAGAGAGAGGCAGAGACATAGGCAGAGGGAGAAGCAGGCTCCCTGTAGGGAGTCCAATGCAGGACTCAATCTCAGGACCTTGGGATCACACCCTGAGCCAAAGGCAGACACTCAACCGCTGAGCCACCTAGGTGCCCCCCAATTTATTTTTTAATGCACAGGTCTCACCTCATCAAGGAATCCTCTTGAAATTGCATGAGAGAGTGAATCACACTCTGTGCTCCCCCTGTACCACTTTGATAATTGGATAGTTGCCCTTTCTGAGCTGGAATATTAATATGTAACTCACCCTTTTCTACTTTGACATCTTTGAAGGCAGGGTCAGTATTTCATCCATCTCTTTAGTATTCCTTGCTCCTAGCCCAGTGCCTAGTATAGTGTCTATCACACACTAGCAACAGGACTGTGCTTAAATGTTTGTTGAAACTTATTTCAAATTCTTTGTTGCACAGTGGTTAAGAGCATAGGCTTTGGTACCCAGAAATCTGGGTTTAAATTCTGGGCCCTATCACTTATAATGGGAACTTGAGCAAATTACCTAATCACTGTATGCCTTAGTTTCTTCAATTTCAAAATAGGAATAGGGCAGCCCGGGTGGCTTAGTGGTTTAGCACTGCCTTCAGCCCAGGATGTGATCCTGGAGACCCGGGATCAAATCCCATGTCGGGCTCTCTGCATGGAGCCTGCTTCTCCCTCTGCTTGTGTCTCTGCCTTTCTCTCTCTCTCTCTCATGAATAAATAAAATCTTAAAAAAAAAAGGGAATAGTAGCAATGGTACTTCATAAGTTTATTATGACCAAAAAAGGAGTGAAATTATATGTACACATACGTGCATATGTATAACTGAAGAATGCATGGGAAAAGCTCTAGAATGTAAATCTGTTACTAGTTTTATTCACATAGACACATGAATACTTACCATTCTTATGATACTTATACTTGTAGGTAATTGCAGGGGTGTTATTTAGGGATGAACCTTCACAGATGTTTAGACCCTTCTAAAAAATGCCTTTATTTATAAGTAAGGAAGGGATTTCCACTGGGGGAATGTCATACAGTTAGCCTATAAGTGAGGGAACAAATCCTCACACTACTCAGGCTGGGCTTCTAAATCTACATGAGCTAAAAAAATCTACCTTGAGTTCTAAAGCCTAGCTCTAAGTTTACTCAGAACTTCATTCAATTTGAAAATATTGCTAGATCAGGATCAGGAGTTTTTTCTTATAATTTTCCTTTCTTTCACTACTTCACATTTCAATCTAATTCAGCTACCATTTACCGAATAGTAAATAGTATGTTGTGATTGCTTGAAGACATTTACCAGTAGTAACACCTAGAGTCATTGGAAATGTCTTGTTTGTCACTTTCCTATTAAAAATACATATTTAAAGAAGTTATTCCTACTTTAATTGTGAATAAATAGTGTGGTAAAGGTGATTTAAAAATATTAATATTATTTATAACTGAAATATCCTGTAAGATTATATGTAACTTTAGAGACTAGTATATTGTTAGAATAATTATATATCTAATTAAAGAGCTAATAAATGCTCTTCATAGTAAATATACATATGTGAGTATATGTATAAAATTTACTATTTTCAATTTGTTGAAATAAATTTTACTTGATTTCAAACAAAGACTCAAATATGCCACTTTGAGCAAACTTGCAGTTATAGCAACAAAAGCAGAAAAGCAATGTTTGTAGTCTATCATTCTAAAAAGAGTTGATTAGACTTTATTTCTGAGTGCTTCGCATTTTCCTGATTCTCTGTTGTCTGTGTGGTAGAGGGTAGAGAAGCTGTAACCCAGGCTGTACATATTAGAGGTTTACTATAAGAGAAGACCTTACTTAATCTTTTTTTCACATTAAAACAATTAAACATTTATATTAAATGTAATACGTTCTATTTCACAGAATACACAGCCTGTTTTAATGTATAAGGAATGCTGTTTTCCTCTCCATATCACTTCTAGAAGACAGAACAGGGCAAAAAACCATGGCATGCACTGAAACAAAGAGGCATGACAATTGAGGTTTGTTACTATTTGTCGTGTGCTTTAGAAAGATCGAGAGTATCAAATAACAGGTAAAATTATGATATAGAAAAAGAGACATAAAATTTTATACCTGGAAAGTTCAAACAAGGACATCTAGTCCAACCCACCCATTATATAAGCAAACTAAGTCCTATAGAAATGAAGTCAAAGTTGATTCACTGAGTCATTATGGAATAGAATTGTTAGCTTGGCTTTGTAAACCTGATATCTTTTTCCGCTTCCTTACACTGCAACCTAATCCCCTAAAGTAGGCATTCCATGGAAGTTATTAACAATGCAACCTTTTGGGAAGGTAAATATTATTTGAATTTAAACAATGACATAAATGGAATAAAATTTAAATTAATAAAGCAGAGTCTAAGTGTTTCATCTGAACCTATTACCTACAAAGTTGTGTAACAAGTATAGATTCTATATAAAATTATTGTTGTGTTTTAGTCTAAGAAACTATAATTATACTTAACTAGTGAGTGATAGAGAGGGAACTAACTATAGGGGAAAAATAAAAGAAGAGAGACTATGAATAGTTAGGGAAAGAAGATACCTGCTCGCTAAACCTGCAGCCTCTCACATAGGAAAGACCGGTTCATCGAAGAACATTTCCATTTCATCTAAGTGATGAAGGATTTTGAAATCTGGTGGTGAAATCCTTATCCACACTGTAAACTATCATTACATCAATACCAAAAAACAAGAAGCATCACCATCAAAAATAAGACAAATCAAACAACACAAAGGAAAAATGCCTCCTACTCTTTAGGAAGAAGTCTGACACTTGGAAAATAAAAAAAGACTTTTGCTGTTAAGGAACAGAAATACGGAACCAATGGTTATAACAAGAGAAACAAGTACTGACAGTTTAAATCAATTCAATATTTCACTTACCTTTAGTTTTCCATAGTACTGAGCATAGTACTGAATTATCTAATAATGTCTGATAAATATTATATAATTTTGGGCAACTGAAAAAAATTTTGTAGTACAGAAATAACCATCCTCCTTTCTGTGTTTGCTTTTTTCTATATACCTTGAGGACATAAAGCTTTTAAGATTTATAAGCTGTAGAAAATATCTGAAACTCAAATTTGTATTAAGACATTATTCTTTGCACAAATCCACTGACCCATTTTCCTAAAGTAAAAATAACTGCTGGGTTTTTAACTTGCACTGAAAATATAACAATCACAGTTCAATAATTATATTCATACAGTACCTTGAAGACTATATTTCAAGTTGCACAACTGACCTTCTTTTCTATAAAAAATATAGATAGAGCCTAAATCATAGGTAATTATATCATGGAACATTTTGAAAAGGAGAATCCTGTTGCTTTTCTTGCATATAAATCAATTTGGATCTTTAATACTTCTTTGCATTTCCTTGCATATTTATATACATGACTTTATTTCTTTTTTTAACTTATGGAAAATATCTGACCACTTTATAGATTGACAAATGATACCTTGTTAGACAGCTGTACAGAAAAAAAATAAACACACACGTGACAGATTTTCAGAGACAGAAAAATAAATTTCCTTTTGCAAAGAATCAGTACACTTTACAATCACTCACAAGCCATAGCACGAGGATCCACTTTTGTCTCTCCAGCAAGAATTCGAGGTGTCTAAGTTGAATTCACTTCACTCACCTGTTTGGCTTAGTTGGGATGTGCTTCTACTCCTTCTAGATACTATGGCAACCACTTTGGCACTCAGGCTGGATCTCCTTTTCTTTCCACCTGCTCCAACTGTACCCACAGCCGTGTCGGACTGACTGCCATCATTATGCTCCAGTGTGTACATCTCCCCACTCACACTGGTGCTCTTTGTGATGGCTCTTCCTGAAGTCCCCATCCGTCTGCCTTGCATTTTAGGGGTAAATGAACTATATTTACAAAGTAAAAACATATATGCATCCATAAATTACAGGTCAGCATAACCGAAGCTCTAAATCTAATTAATTTTGAAATAATCCAGGCAAATTTTTAGCAGGAAAAGTCAGTTGAGTAGTAGGCTTATAGCTAGGATTTACTAGACATAGCTTAAAACAATAGTATTTTGACATAGGAATCTTAGAGTAAAAAGAAATGCAACCAATGTTATCCACAGGGAGGAAAATGTTACTAATTTTAGAGTTACTGTGTTACTTTCAGAGAAAAACAAAAATATTTAAATCAATAAAACAAGTTCATATACATTCCTCAGAAAAAAGTATTATTAAAAATGGATACTCTGGATTTGCCATTCAAGGCTTAACAAATGAAAACATCTGTTCTAGTTCCAACTAACAGATATCTCTTTTACAATCTGAGGCTTAATGAGTCTAAGACAGACTACTAATGAGGCAAAAAGAATCACATTTCCCTCTTTCTTCCTTATCCCCTCACGTTGCATCTTTCCAAATTCCACTTCCTTTTTCTCTGTCAGTGTTTCAAACTCATATGCTCAGATTGAGATGTTCTTTTTTTTCCCTTGCTTATTATAACTTGCTTGTCTATGTTTTCAGATTATACTAATTTACCTGAATAAATTACTATACTTCTTTCCTAAATGAAAAAAATTACTGTTGAGAATTTCAAACACCCTGGAAGTTTGGTGGGAAAAAAAATCGCCTCTACTTGCTAAAGTAAATGTATGTCTGTGAGTTGGGGAGAGAGCTAAGGCAGGCAAGTTGGGAGCCACGGATATTAGGATTCTTCATATCTTTTAAGTTACGCTGCATATGCAGTTATATTATCTATGCAGATTGCCCTCTTTTGGTCTAGTGAAGACCTGGTTTGATATATCTGAAATGGCCCTCTTTATTTTATGTTTTCTTAAAATATCTGCAAAAATTGACTTACATGACCCTCACCATGATCTTGATTTTCTATTTCTTGTTTCGAAGTACAAAATACGTTAAAACAGCAACTTTTAACAGTGATGACATTTAATACTCAGGTTGGGATAAATCCTAATATGATTAGAAATGATAAAACAAATATTTGGGATCATGTAACGTATTTGTGGTTAAATATATAATGAGTGTTTCAGTAGAAAGGGAAACTGATATGGGATGAATTCAGAAAAATGGGAGAATGAGATTGTGGAAGGCTTAGAAGTTATGGAAAAGAAACAAGACTGTTGGATCCTTAGGATCCTTCCATGAATTGAATTGAAAAATGAGACCCCTATTTGATAGGAATCATTTTTAATCCCTAGCTGAATTACTTGGTCTATATCATTAATAATATTAATACTTGTCCCTTTCAATTTATTCTAATCAGCTTTTCATTAACTCAAAGCTTTTAAAGCCATTTAGTTATGCTATGTGCTTTATGCAAACTCTATTTCAAAACATTATTGAGGACAGTATTACCTATAGCTAGTCCAAAATTGATTCTTGTGGGGTTTGTATTCCCAACTCCAGGGGACCTTCTTTCATGATAAATATTACAGTAAACTTCTTCTATGTCCTCACCAATTTATTTCAATGCATGATCTAAATCTGCCATGTCTCCTTAAGCCTACTCTTACTACCTGCTTTTTCTACTATTTTGCTTGCAAACTTTTTGCTGGAGGATATGAAACAATGTCACAATTTGGTCAGTTTTGTAGTCATCATGTCCATCTTCAATCAAACACCTGTGATTGAGAAGTCAGTAGTTTTTCCACCTCTCATCAATCTTTTTAGCACACTCCTTGCAGGAGTTATTGAAAATTTCTTTTCTGATGATTTTATTCTTACCTTAATAGTAAAGTCTGGATAAACTAACATGTACCTTTTGTTTCCCCATTATTTCCATGAAAATGGAATTCTATTACAACTCTCAATTTGTATTTTAAAAGTTAGTTCATAAAAAAATACTACTGTAAAATATTTGACGATGTTCTTTAGGCTACAGAAAAATTTACAAGTATAGGGAAATGTCATCAATAATATTTCTGTCATGAAAGTGTATTCAAGATGAGCCAGGAAGATTCAAAATTATTTTTTCATGGGCATTTAATCACAGCAATGAAATGTTCTACTATGTTGAAAAAATTCTGGAAGGCAGCTATGCTCATCACTATATCACCAATGCAAATCAATGACAAAACTTCTAAAAAAATTAGGGAAATCTGTATAGTGATTACCACTTATGGAGTTAAGGATTTATGTTAAAATTAGTTTTGTGAATAAATGATATAGTTTTTCCTCAAAAAATAAAATATTTAGAATTTTAAAAGCATTCTTATATGATATGACAACTGTACACAGCTTCCTAAAGAATATGGAATATCATAGTGTTCAACAAGAACATGTTAAGGCATTTTCAATTCTGTTTACCTAATTGAGGGGAGAGGTTTCTGGGTTCTAATTAGGTTAATTTAATTCATGTGAAGGTTACCATTTTACTGCAAATATGCTTTCTATTCCCCTATTTTGTATCCTTTTATTTGTTTCACTTCCATTGCCTAGTAAACTATTCCCATTACTTAGTTTCATTTAGTGCCTGAATCCTTCAGGATGTACTTTAAGGTTTTCTGCTTTATAAAGCTCCTCAGAGCCTGTTTAGTGTTATGACTCTCGTTTCCCAGTCCTTTGTTTTCTGTTTTCTTTTGGTTATATTAGGATTCTTACATTTTATAACAGCATGCATGTTATGCATCACTAGATTTGCCACAGTGCCCTTCCTACTGCTGAATGAACTGAAAATTTGAGTAGGAAGTAAAAAAAAAAAAGTGATGTTGGTATACAAATGGACTAGGATATAACCCATCTTTAAAAATAAACAAAGCCCCCACCTTTCTTCTTTGATACCCCCCCTCCCTCTGGCTACTGGCTTTTTTGCTAAAAAATCTTCTCATGCAGTTGTCTGTATGTTCTGTCTTCCTATTCTATCTTGAATTTATTTATTTATTTATTTATTTATTTATTTATTTATTTATTTATTTATTTATTTAATCTTGAACTAATTTAAATCAGGCTCTGTCCCTACTACTTCACCAAAACTGCCTTTTTTATTAAAGTCACCAATGACTCCACATGGTAGTCCTATCATTGCAGAGTCCTTACCTTTTTGACCTCTCAATAAATCATGTATGTGACAAGACATTTGATTTTACTGATCATGAAACACTTTATTCTCATGATTTTCCTACCTCATTGACAAGAAGACCTTTATCCTCTTTGTCACCAAATACTGCGGTTCTTCAGTGCTCAGTCCTCTGACCTAATCTTCCCTATGACACTAACTCCCCAGGTGTCTCCTCTCTCAGGCTTTACATATTAACCATTGCTGCAAATTCCAATTGTTTTTTCTCCACTTGTACTCAGTCCTGAACTCGAGATTTATATAGTCAGTTGTTAACTGACATTCCTGTTTGGATATGTTTCTCAAAAATAATATGTTCCACCCAACTGAAAAACTGCTCTATAGAACTTATCTTTCTTATCACATTAAAGATACCCATTCTCCCAATTGCTCAGAGTAATAATTTCCCCCTATAAAGAAATCTAATGTGGATTTTAGACCAAATAAAATAGTTGCCTTATTTTCTAATGGTTGGTGTATTCTAACAAGCCCACTGAAGGGTCATGTGACTCTCTAGGGGAATGTGCAAAATTTTTGTCTATTTACTCCTATAATAATTATGGTTCAAAGATTTTGCAACTCTGTAAAGCTAGATATTAACCTGAAGAAAACTGATAAGGAGCAAATGATTACTATTTAGAAGATGAGGTAACTCCAAAGGTTACAGTTTTACTGACCTAGAGAATATTACCCAGTTTTGAATCTAAATTCATAATCTTATTCAGCATTCATCTTTTTTTTCAATGACTATATATGTGTATACATAAGTACCTGAGTTTCTTGGATCATCTTTGGAATCTATTTATCATCCTGTTGGTTTTCTCACTAATGAGTTAAAACTTCAACATTTGCTACCTGTTTTTCTTATTACTGTGTTTTGATTTTGAGAATAAGGTTTTGGTAGTGTTGAGGAGTCCCATCAAAATGCCCAAATGAACCCCCTGCTGGATCCAATTAAACTATGTTGCTGGAGCAGGGCACCTCCTGTACTCCTTAAAGGTTGCCTTTAAACAAGTGGCAACAGAACATGACTTTTAGTCTCTGCTTCCTTTTTTCAGACTCTGGTTTTCTGTATTTCTTTGTTTTGTTTGTTTGTTTCTGGTTTTTGGTAAATTGGCTCGTATTTTGCTTGCTTGTGACTAATAATACAATCCTCACTAATGGCACCAATAATAGGAAATCCATTCTGGAATCAAATCTGTTTGATGACAGATATCAGGATATATTATAAGTTAGATGGCAAAACCCCCCCAAAATTGGGTTTGTTAGCCTTTTTTACATGTCTGTTAGCTTGTTAGTAAAAGTTCACATAACTTATGAAAATGTCTTGTGCATACTGAAATAAGAACTGCTCTTTAAAGTCCAGGCTTAGATTTCGGTGTTAATTTTGGCCCTTTGGCTAAGTGGGAAAACCAAGGTTGCTAGTTCTCTTCGTATTCTTAAAAACAGTCTTTTTAATTGATAATAAAAATCTTTTACTTTCTATGTACCCTAGGAATAGCTGTCCAAGCAGATAGATATTAGATCCAAAGTTATCTTAAATTTAATAGAACTCCTGTTCTGACTGAACTGTATAGATGAGTAAGTACTTACATAATTCTAATATGGGTAACTAAAGAATCTCTAGAGAAAAAAAGAAACTGAAAATCAAATACTTTGAATATGCTAGCCTCTTAAGAAAAAAAAATTCTCAAGGAATTGCTAACTCAGAAGAATTTTAATAGAAGAATTTAAGCCCATAATCAAAGCTAATCCTTTGAGATACCAAACTAGTTTGATAAATTTGGCTTAAAAACAGCCTTATAAAAACCATGATGAGATGCCAGTT